TACTATTAGTCAAATATGATATTTGCCCATATATTTGTCTATATGTTTGCCTACATGACAAATCCATTTTTTCGTCGAGTGTTTAGCGATAATGTTATCGATGTTAGAAACCGTTAGACGGTTGGGCGCTAACAGCGATCTGATTGGTTCTAACATCCCTGTTAGGACTAACGTTAGTCATCCTTCTCAGGTCAAAGTGAGGTCGCTTCTGATTGGTTCTAACGGTAAATGACAGATGATAACGACTAACACGAAATAGTGCCAACTAAAATGAACTACTAATTAAGTTGAGCGAGTGTTAGATATTAATCTTTTTGGTCCAAGCTGTAGTTTTGGTGATTCTGTTTAAACCGTGCTATTTCTCTTTATTTTCTTGTTTCAGGGAAAGAATCAAGAACGCCCTATGGTTTGCTGAATCTTTTGGTTTAGTATCAACCAGTGTCCAGTTAAAAGATGCATCATTGCACACCAGCATAGAAGTTTCTCTTCATTGATCATTCAAGTAGGAAGTCTTTGAAAACCACAAACGAAATAGATCTTTTATTATGTCCTGATGGTTAAGTTTTAATGAAAACTATGGCTTTTTTATCTCTTAACTTGAAATGTTCGTTTAAATACAATATGTTTATTGATTCTGCAACTTTGTATTCACAAGGTTTGGATATCTTTTTTTCAGTAACGTGTAATCATTAAGAAACAGAACATTCTGCCTCAGCTTCACACTCAGAAGAAAACAATCAAAGTGAGTTATGTATTAATTATTTTGTGTCATCTAAATTTATTCTAAAATGAATAATGAACTATAGTGAATAGTGAAGTATAATACCATCATTATCTATTATTGTATTTTACATGTGTATGTATGTGTCACTCGCAGGGTATAGACTTATATTTTAGATTTTTGCATTATATTATGTGTATTTATTTATCTTATTTTATCCACGACCCTTCCAGCTTTTAGTTTCAAATGTTATCGTGTCTAAATTAAAGTATTCTTTTTTAAAAAAAGTTGTGAAATTTCAATATATATATTTTTTCGTACTAGGTTCTAAAGAAAGTTCATACAAAGCTTTTTCTGACAAGGAAAAATACAAATTGAAAACTCTTCTGTATATCTTAGACGATTTCTCCATTTCATTCGAAGGTCATCATCAACTTTCGCAGGTTAGAATCCATGTAATTAGAAACATGTAAGCACACAGCATTTAATACATATTTTACTCACTAACTCGCTCCTCATCTGCCCCCATCTTCCCTATAATTTGGAACATGCGCATGCGTAAAATGATCTCCCGTGTTCCAATAATTGAAACATTTGGAACTAACAATATGGCGGACGTCTTTGGCTCGAGAGTGGATCACAAATCGGCCTAATGCATATTCTAAGTGAACTTTTCTTTACATATTACTATGCCATCGAAGTGTGCGAGTTAGAAGCTGTCAGTGAGTCTATTCAGACGTTCATATAAAGCATTTTTGAGTTCAAAATCAATAGAAATACGAAGATAAGTATCCATCGAGTAAATACATTGTCTTATACCTGGTTTTACATAACGATACACAGCTTGTCATACAATCAATCGGACTTAAATGTCCTTGTTTTTAGTTTTCCTTTGCCAATAAACCAATACTACACCATTAATATTTTTGCTACTTGTGTTTTCTAATAAAAGAATTAATTTCAGGGTTCGTGAAAGAATTCCATGAAAAAATTCAAAGAGTTTTCAAGGAGTTTTTAAGGACCAAAATGACATTTTTCAAGGAGTTAAGTATTGATGAATCTTTGTATCATTTCTTTTTTTCGGTTATCGGTACGTTTTAGTATATTAACCTCAATTTTCTTGGAGTAGATAAATGTACCCTAAGAAAATGTTACACTGTAACTGCTGTTAAATTGGTTTCTTCTTTAGTAAATACGGTAATTTTAGATTTATCAATATGACTCAGTATAAGTTGTTCTTAAAAACCAGTCTTTGTGAATTATTTCCATGCATTTTTTTTTTGATAGATTTAGCTCGGCCTCTGAATAGGAGATGAATATTTTGGTTGAGTGATTATGCATAAAGCTATTCAAAACAATGTTCCTGGGAAACGTATTTCCCCGAAGCCTCGTTTTTAATTGCTTAGTGAATGATCGCTCCACCAAAATATCGAAAGTCGGCTATTGAGGAGGCCTCAATGGCCAGCTTATCGAGACATCTACTAACAAAACGTTATGAAAAACTTGATACATGTAACAAAGTCAAAATATTACGCTTTTAAGGAAACCGTCTCGAGCTCCGCGTCACAGAGAAATTCTTTTCTGGTCCGAGGGACGTAGCAATAAATTAATCTCTACAAATAACTAAAGATGGCAGTTTACATATCTTAAACATCTTATTGAGGTTTTTTCATCTATACTTTTTCAAGGATGTTTCAAGGACTTTTCTACGTTTTCCCATTTTTCAAGGAGTTTCAAGTGCCCTTGAAAATGCATTTTAAATTCAAGCACTTTCGAACCCTGTAATTTGCATATCATTGCTGTGCTTCTTCTCATTGTTTGTTTTAAATTTATTTTGTTTCCTCCTATTTATCCCTTCAAGATCACCTAAAGGCAGCAATATACTATATTTTAACTGAATTCAAGCCAATAAATATGTTTGGGCAAAACCTTTAGAGTATTACTAGAATTATTTAACATAACTTGCTCCAATTCCTTATTTGGTCTTTCTTTCAACAGGCTTTTCCATGGAATTTTATCAGTCTTTTACCTTATACGTATATAGATAAAACTTCCCTTTGAAAAGCCTTTTTTTTGGCCAAGATAATATCAAATAAACACATCATTTAGTCCGTATTTCATAATGTTTTCATGAATTGAATTTCCCCACCCCTATAAAAGAGAGCACAAAAGCCATTATCTTTAGTTGCAACCAAGATTTGATGGGACCTTTAGTCTGGAAGAACAGCAATTTGCACTCTTTCTACTATGTATGTAGGTATCTCAATCAACTTTCTAGTTCATAAGTGTGTATATAGTTTTGTATGTCAAAGGGGCTATTTGTTGTACATGCAATGCTAATCTGTTTGACTGTGGTTGATGTTGAAAAAACACTGCTTTTGGTATGCTAAATGTAACATAGTTTTGGGATGAAGCAGCCATATATTATAACAATAACTGTATACCTGTATACACTAGTAGTTGCGGTAGGGATGGAGCGAAATCGCTAAACCTGTATTATTGATATTAAACTAATACACTTTAGTATAGACTATACCCTGATTCCAATATATTTTTTTGTCAATAAGTATTTGACTATTACACTCCAAAAAACAATTTCTATTTCATGAGTTTAGTGATTTCCCTCTACTACATGTATGACAGAGTGATTTTACTTAGTAGTAGACACTAATTCCATTGTTTTTTGTTGTACTTTGATATTGTTCGCTAATCATACAACTCTGTTTTGTGGGTTAAAAAAATCACTTTAGGTGTGATGTTACTGTATATATAATCATGATAACTGTGGTAGGGAGCAGCAGGTAGGGGGACTCACGAAGGGGGTACCGGGAGCACCGGGTATTGCCCGGGCCAAGTACTATCCGTCCCCCGCGGGAATGACACGTGTTCCGTTACATGTTACGCGGTGATTTCCTTACTGCTGCTGTGTTAACATATTTGTTTTATATACGATGCATGAATGTAAAGAATTTTGCCTTAATTTATGTGTGGGGCCGCAAACGTAGT